AGCTCAGTTGGTTAGAGCTCGACAACTGGACTCTGTAGCTCAGTTGGTTAGAGCTCGACAACTGGACTCTGTAGCTCAGTTGGTCAGAGCTCGTCAACTGGACTCTGTAGCTCAGTTGGTTAGAGTTCGACAACTGAACTCTGTAGCTCAGTTGGTTAGAGCTCGACAACTGGCCTCTGTAGCTCAGTTGGTTAGAGCTCGACAACTGAACTCTGTAGCTCAGTTGGTTAGAGCTCGACAACTGGACTCTGTAGCTCAGTTGGTTAGAGCTCGACAACTGGACTCTGTAGTTCAGTTGGTTAGAGCTCGACAACTGGACTCTGTAGCTCAGTTGGTCAGAGCTCGACAACTGGACTCTGTAGCTCAGTTGGTTAGAGCTCGACAACTGTCCTCTGTAGCTCAGTTGGTTAGAGCTCGACAACTGGACTCTGTAGCTCAGTTGGTTAGAGCTCGACAACTGTCCTCTGTAGCTCAGTTAGAGCACTGCACCGGCATCACAGGGCCGCAGGTTCGATTCCTACCAGATGCTCCTGCATGGTTAGATCTAAAATGTATCATTCTTCCGCTACAAATTTCCATCTACAAAACCCTTCAACTGTTAGTTCTATCGCGCGCGATGTAGGGTTGGGCGATATTAAAAAAATCATCTCACGATTATTGTCAAGGAAATTATCACGATATTCGATAATATCGCGATAAATGCAATAAAAACAATGACGACATTTTTCAATTTTAATTAATATCAAAGCATAGTAAGCTTATATATAATCTTATTAAAAACAAGTAAAAACAACAGATTAAAGTAATATGAAGGCTTTTTCTAGTCTAATATTTACTGTTCATAAACCAGAACTGTATATGCATTGTCTACCATGTCTCCGCTGGCACAAATGCTGTGGGCACACAGTGGGCACACAGCCCAAGCAAAGCCTGCAATTTCATTGTTCAGTGGATTAATACATAAATATTAGTTTTTGTGTCGTATTAAATTCGTATTGAATTCGGGAAATAGGTTTCATTCTTTTAAAAACTATATTTTCTAGGAATTGAAATATTTTTTTAGGATTTTATGTACATATGCGAAGCAATATCACGATAGTTTTCGACCATGACGATAATTTCGATATATCGTCGCTCAAGTTTCTACAATACCTTCGATACGATAATCGCGATTGAAAATATCGCGATAAATCAAAATATCGAAATATCGCCCAACCCTAGCGCGATGCCCAAAAAATCACTAAATTTGTTAATTTGAATAGATGCACAAAATACGTGAATTACCCTTGTCTGCATCATTGAACACTTTAGGTAACCCAGTAATAAACTGAACTTTGTCATTATCTCTATCCCACAGAAATATCTTGCCATCACACAAAGCACCACACAAAAATTGACCTTAAGAAAAGCAAAATATAACACTCACTGACAATCTGCACAGTGACAAAGGAATTGCAATATTTTAAATTTAATGTCTAATTTGAAATTCTGCAAACTCTTAAAACTGCAATCTGGCGGTAAAATGTCACTTGAAACGTCTCCGAACTGGATGAGCTGTTAGTTTTTTTCTAGTTTTAGCTGAAAAGTAACCAGTCTCACCTGTATCAAATGCATGTTAAATGATTTTCTGATAGATTTAATTGTATATTTTAGGGACCCAGTAATAGAGCTCAATACTTGTGCATGGGACTTCCCTGCCACTTGTGGCAAAGCTTGTAAATAAATAAATATTAAATAAAATTTATTTTTCCAGTTTTTTTATGTCAAAATTTAACTTGCAATTTTCTCACCATTCTGTGACACATTCAAAGCACAAACATCATTCATTAAACCATGAAGTTTTGAAATTTTCTTTTTAGTCTTTCCAGAAGGAATATAAAGTTGACTGACTCGTTTTCCATCCAAAATATAAAGACCATCTTGTTCCTGTAAAATAAACATTAATCAGTGAGACAATTCCTAAGTTAAATGCTATACTGTGGCAGTTATTAATAATATACTCTGTCCTGTTTCGAGTTTTCAGGAGTTTCACTGAAGTTCAGGAATGAAAAGTAAAGAAGACGTCGCAGATAAAGCAACGGAAACAAAGCTGGTTTGGATATGTAGTAGGAAGATAATCAAGGATTGCTTGTCAGAAACATTATGGAAGAAAATGTTGGATAGCAGTCATTGCAGAGAAGGTGCATGAGAGAATCAAGATAGTAAGAAGTGATTAAAGAAAGCCGGTCAAACATTGTGGAATGAGAAGATATACACAGTATATAGATTATATATAGATATCGCTGATAACATGCAGAATTCGTACAGGTAAGGCAGAGTAAAATTCAAGGACTTTTCAAGCCCATATATCAGGAAATTCAAGGACTATATTGAATGGAAAGGACTATACAAAGTCACGTTGAATTGTTCAAATTTCAGAATTTCAAACAGCTTTGTAAGACATTAAAAAATCAATTCACAAGTCTCCGTTTTTTAATGTCAAATAATTTTGAAAATATCCAAAACTAAACGGTTGGAAGAATTCAAGACGGCATTTCACAATGCGTTTCACAGGGTTCCAAACGCGTTTCATTTATGTTTCAGGAAATCGCATGTTACGACTATAATATCAAAGCTGCTTTCAAGTTAAGCGACGTCATTTCCCACGCTCGTTCTTCACTCGGAAAGTTACTTTGTGTAAAAACGTGGGAAATGACATCTGGGTTCGCAGACTAATAATATGTATACGCTTGCACGGAAAAGTTTAAATTTTTCTAAATTTGATACTAAATGCTATAAATGCTGTCCGTTTATTGATTTAATTACTTCATAATAAGGAACTTTTAAGTTGATTTAATTCTAACAACTGCATAAAAACAGCCTTTATACTCTCAGAGAGACAGAGAGTATTCTTTCTAGAATTAAACTCGAAGAAAAGAAAGAACTCTTTTTGACGGATAAAATTCTGGCATGAATTTTGGGATTCTTATGCTCGTATTCTAAAAGCTCACTAACACTCACACTCAATGAGTGGAGGTCCAATCTGAGCTTCTCTTGAGTGTCAATGCTGTTTTTGAATAGCTGGAGGGTGAGTAGTCACATAGTAAGGTACGACACTAACTCTCGAGCTATTCAAAAACAGCACTGACACTCGAAAGATTTTGTGGTACACACAAAAATATGTTTTTCATAGGGACATTTTCTGAAATGCCAGAATGATAAGAATGGCAAAAGATAATTCAGGATTTCTTGTCAGAGGCCATTGGCAAGCTGTAGTGGCATTGATAGCATTTGAAAAAATAGGTACGCACTGTGCACACGGTTAGACATCAGCAGTTATTTTTAAAATACTTTAAATATTTACAATGTCGATAATTACTGATATAACTATATATACCGCATATTAATAATTGTCTAAAGTGAGAGAAATAGGGATAAATTAAAATATTGTATGTATTTTGTATGACTTTGGCGACTTGAACAAGACTGCTTGCAACCTCAATCCCAGGCTCTTCTATCTTAAAGAAGTTGAAGAAGAACAGCTGTTGCTATCATAGGTTACTGTCTTCCTTTACATAGGAAAGAGTCTCAGCTGGGAACAAGGTTGCCTATATATATTCAACACATAAATCAGGTGATCACAGTTAACCCATATGGAGCAGCTGCACTGACACCTCTTGAGAAGCAAAATCATTTAACTTTAACTTTAATCAATTTCCAAAACATCAAATTAAATTACAAGTTGCATATAATTATAATGTAATTTGAGGTGAGCTTAAAACAGAATTCAAGATTCCCTATCATAAGCCACCTGATATGAATCAATCAATTAGCCTACAATAGTTATAATACATTAAAAAGAATACATCACATATAAAAATTTGGCATTGAACAAGGTAAAATAATAAAATAATATGCGCTTTTAATGTAGTTTAATCAGTTAACAAGGCACATTGTTGGATTGTTTCATCAATCCCTTGTGTGGCAGCACTCTGCAGATCTTGACAAGTAAGATAGTCTGGCATTGGACAGAGTAAAAGAATGGGCTAAATTATAGAATACCCGTCCACTATTCATTTTTCATTGCGTAGCTACATTTCCAGTGGCTACGCAGTCACATGCTATCAAATAACGTCGTAGGGTGCTTCAGCAGCAATGTGGCCTAGTAGGGAACAACAAGTCCTTTTGCCTAGTACCTTATAACTTACATCTTACTAAATCATTAACATGGGTTAAAGATGAACAATAGTTGTTGGGTTATTTATGATTGAAATATGACTATGTGATGTCAGTATTGTCAAAAACTGATTTGAAACAAACAAAATGCTGTGCTTATTTTTTATTGCTTGATTTTTTAAGGTAGTAATATAGCCACTCAGCACAGCATTTCTACATTGGTACTACCCACACTGGTACAGACAGTTTTTGAAACCAACAACAAATTTCAGTATTTTAATATTAAGTCAATCTATATTTTATACAAACAACTAATTTGTGTTCCATGTTTATTTCAAAAGTCGCACCTTTTTGCACTTTAATAGTAATAATACAAATGGCTCTTTATAGCAACTTGTTTGTTTCTGAATGCAAAACAAACCGGCAGTGACAGGAAATGGAAGATGACCCGAAGATCTGAATCGGTCAATCAACCTGGAACAGTCGAACGAAATCCGCAGTAAGTCCAGTAATACTACACAGAATTCTCAACACTTTAATTAATATAGACAATATTTATTTATAATATAGCATTTGTAAATTCTGAACGCTGATTGGCTAAGAGCCGTGTTGATACAACTCAATGTCAACACGGGAAATTTACCGCCGCTTGTAAACACGGAAATTTTTCTTATCCTTCGGGCTTTTGACATTGCTATATTATAAAAAAAATATAAAACATTTTTTCCGTATTGATATATATAGTTATATCAACACTCGTGGAAGTTGGGAAAACTCGAAATTGTATGATCCATACAATTTCGAGTTTTCCCAATTCCACTCGTGTTGATATAACTGTATATCAACACGGAAAATGTTTTATATTTGTTAAATACAAACTGAATAACTTTCTATATTTTTAATTTCCAAATTCTATACTTTGTATTTAAATATACACTGTACCTGCCCAATCCAAAATAATTTTGGCCATGGCTTTTTTCGTTTGATACTAACAGAGGATAGTAACTTCAATACCAACTGCATATTTTACAAGTTACAAAGCTCCTTCGTGAAGAACAGTTGAGATACACATTTTGTGGATATATTTTACATTCTGTTTTTATCGCTCTTTTTTCACAGAGAAAACCCTATTTTCCTCAAGATTACCGTAAAAAAACACATTAACCTTCAATTTGTTTTGAGAAATTGCTGATATAAAGCAATCGGTAGTTTCAGCTCTACAAATTTATATTGACAACAAAATGTCATTTTTTTGTTTTTTTCCGCCATCTTGCATTCCTCATCTGTACTGTTGACAGAAAGCCATAAGATGAAGTACCAAAGCATCGGCTGACACATGAAAACATTGCTCGTGGACTCGTGCGTCCTTTCCAGAAAGCTGCCTGTGGTTGAAGTCCACACGTGGCATTTCCGCAGTTGTTCTTCAATTTTTGCTTTATTTAAACACCAAATTCTGCGAACAACAAGAATGAAGGCAGTTTGCATCCTTAGTTTACTTTTGGTAAGTTCAACTTCATTTTTAAACCTGGTATAAAACACGATCTTGCAGCCATCAACATGACCTCAAATGAGCAAGCAGTGACACAATGACATTGATTTATAATTTGTTTAATATGTATTTTAATATATTGTTGATGTTTTATAGTGCGTTTTTATCGTGGAATGCAAGAAACAGAAAAATAGTGATAGGAAAGATATTATAATTATTGATGATGTAAAATTTTTCAAGAAAGTTATGAAAACGCATACTAATCTTCTGGTGTTATTCTCCCAGTCAGGTAGGTCACTATGGGTGATTAATAAATATGTCAACTATGCTATTTATTAATATATTACAGTGCGTCTACTGTAAGTGGGGCCACTTAGAGAACACTAACCAATCACATTGCAGAACAGAAAGTGAAAAAATCAACAAACGGCGCATTAGCCAATCAGCATTAGGCCAAAAACAATTCGAACAAATAAACGAATGTCAAACGGTAAAAATAGACATGTAAAAGTAAACATTGCAGTTAATGGCTTTCTGAATCTTTCTTTTGATTGGACGAGCTTTAGTTTGATTAGATTTTTCTTTCTGTTCTGCAATGCGATTGGTTAGTGTTCTCTAAGTGGCCCCACTTACAGTAGACGCACTGTAATACAGCAGGAAGCCAAGCTTTATTTCCATATGATTGATTAGTTCTGCAATCAATGAAAAACTGAAACCCACTCAGTTCCAAATAGTAGAGTGTTTGAGAGTTTTCTCTCATAAAGTAAGAATGGATTTGAAGGACAAAATATATTTTCAACATTAATCTATTGATTAACAAAGGGGAGAGTGCTCATAATGTTAATCTATCAGCCCATGCATGTCTAGTTAACCCACTGGCTTACTTTATTGTTTTACTCTGTCTAACACCACACAATTTCATTCATCAACTGAGGACTGTGCTGTCACTCAGTGGGTTAACAGCCTTTCTACATGGAGGAAGGTAACCCTCTTGACAGTGTCATTCTTCTAGAAGGTTCACAACAGTTATATTATGTTGCCTCCAGTGCTTACCTCACTTATGTAAACAAATAAAAAACATATTGTTATACATTTGTAAGTTAATTAATCATACTTGCAAAATAAAATATGCCTGTGCCAGGGCTTTTATCTCCTTTAACCCATTGAAACCGCCGCAATGCACCCCAGTGCACTTTACTTATTTTTTTACTTGTCTAATGCCAGACGATTTTACTCATCAGTGGGGAAGCTCTGCAGCTTAATGGACTAATAGGAAGGGATGCCGGAACGATGTGAAGGCAAGGGGGGGGGGGCAGATTTTCATGAAAGGGCACTTTTAAATTGAGATATATTAAGAGATGTTTGCAAAACATCAGGAGTTGAACTTTGCCCAATCATGTTTTCTATTTATTGGATGATAGGGGTGTGAGGGGGTTCTCCGCCAGGCGATTGTGCTATTCTTGAAGCTCGATGACTGCATTTCTTGCGTTTTCTGAAGCAAATTCGTAAAAGAATTGCACTAACATTTCTGACAATTCGCTATTTCGCCAAGGCAATCCTTTAAATTGAAAGGGCACATTAGCCCCTCCTGGTAAAGGGCAACGGGGGCGGCTTCCCCTCCTGCCCCCCAGTAGGGTTGGGCGATATTTCGATATTTTGATTTATCGCGATATTTTCGATCACAATTATCGTATCGAAGGTAGAAACTTGAGCGACGATATATCGAAATTATCGTCATGCTCGATGACTATCGTGATATTGCTTCGCATGTGTATATAGCTATTATAAAATCCTAAACAATTCTTTCAATTCCCTAGAAAATATAGTTTTTAAAAGAATTAAAACTATTTCCTGAATTAAATACGAATTTAATACGATACAAAAGCTAATATTTATGTATTAATCTGCTGAACAATGGAATTGCAGGCTTTGCTTGCGCTGTGTGCCCACGGCATTTGTGCCAGCGGAGACACAGTAGACACTGCATAGACAGTTCCAGTTTATGAACAGTAAATATTAGACTAGAAAAAGCATTCGTAGTACTTTAATTTGTTGTTTTACTTGTTGTTAATAAGATTATATATAAGCTTGCTATGTAATAATGATATTAATTAAAATTGAAAAAATGTGGTCATTGCTTTTATTGCATTTATCGCGATATTATCGAATATCGTGATAATTTCCTTGGCAATAATCGTGAGGTGATTTTTTTAATATCGCCCAACCCTACCCCCCAGTTCCGGCATCCCTGCTAATAGGCATCAATTCTTGCAAAGGACATTTGCTTGAATTGTTAACTTGTCTCACTCAATTGCATGTGAAAACAGTACCGGTACTTGCAGTTTTGTCATTGTTTTCCAGGATGTTAATTGTTTCTTCTGCAGTGAGCTTTGAATGACTACATGATGTAAAACTATTAATTTAACAAACTTTAACATACACATTATGTATTGTACCGGTACCAAGTATTGTACATGGTGTACCCACAAGTTTATTAATTAATTTAATAATTGTAGTGATCATTATAATATTTTATTAGAAACTCCCAAAGGGTTTTTCAGTTCTAAGTTATGTACATGAATAACATGATTAATATCTAGAGCTAAAAGTAATAAATTTTATTACGACTATTTTTCCTTAGTCCTCTCTTAAAAGTATGTAAGCAACTTGTCAGTAGTATCTTGAGGAAGCGAGTTCCACAAACTAATGGCACAATATGAAAATGTATGTTGTCCCAAATTTGATCTATAAGCTGGGATATCTAAACTAGCTTTATTCCTAGTATTACGGCCATGTCCTGAAGACCATGTTATAAACCAATGTAACTACAGTAGGGTTATCCCTTAATTAACACACTTGAATGCCAAAATTGGACCAATTAACAAATGTAACACAATTCCAAAATTTACCATTTCCATGACCACTGATTACTGCCTGGAGAAGCCTAAAGTTTGTGTACATTTGTTAAGAAATAATTGCAATAGTTATATGTTCTGCAATTATTGTATAATCAATCCGACAATCCTCTATTGTTGACATCAGTATCGAAACTAAACAATTAATAGTGTGGAATAGAATAGAGAATGTCTTATAAATTTCATTGATGAAGAACAATTTTTGACAGGATGTTTATATCATGAACGTACTGTGGGCCTTGTGGGGATGATTATTTGTAAGTTTAAAATTTGTTAAAAATTTTAAATCTACCCTCAAAATGCGGGAAATACCATTTCTGATACACCAGATTTTAAAATTTTCTGGGGGGTATGCTTCCGGATCCCCTTAGTGATTTGTCAGTGCAAAAACCTGTTTTACCTGCCCTGCTCACAACTGTGGAGAACCCTGTTATGAGACCCAGATGTTTATGAGAGCAGGGACGTTGCTATAGGGTGTGTGTGTGTGGGGGGGTGTAACACCCCCAATAATTCAAACGTTGGTCAAAGTTGGTCAAAATGGAACTGATATTTGCCCAAAGTTGGTCAAAATGGAACTGATATTTGCTTAAAATTGAAGGTAAAACTCGGACAAATTTGGTCAAAGTTTGGGATAAAAGACGGTCGAAGTTGCTCAAAGTTATGAAATGGTTCGCAATTTTAACAATTTTAAAGCTTTTGTTATGTTTGCGGTGAAAAAATTGGAATATTTGCTTATCTTGGTCGAAAAATTTTGAATATGCTCATGTTAGTCCGGAAAATCGTAGGAAATGTTGGTCAAAGAATGACGCCCGCCCCCCCCAAATGTTGATGGGTCCTACTATAAATTACTGCCACGAGACTGCCCGGGAACTGCCCGAGACTGCCCGGGAACTGCCCGGGGACTGCCCAAGACTGACTGCCCGGGTAAACACCGTAACATAACGTTATTTATTATACAGTATAGTAAGGCAGTGTGCTCTTGTTTTAAAACGCTTAGCTAGTACATGTATAAAAGTTTTTTTCAAAACAAAGCTACGTTGCTTGCAACCATTGACCGGCATTTTCCGCCGAAGTTCGTTTTTAAATTTTTATTTAAAACAGGAAAAACAATTTTTTCTCAAAAATGTTAGAAATTAGCCAGGTTAGGAATGTAAAATATGTATACTAATTAAGGTAATTAGCGGAAACACCGTTTCCTTGGTATAATGACTTTGTTTTGGTAAAAATGGTCATGTATGTATTGCTGTGGCTTGCATGACTTTGTCTTTGTATAGTTACCATATCGCATGCTTCCATGCAATGGCAATGTTTTTTCTCTATATACTTTCCTTGATCGAATCCGATAATTTCTCCTCCATTCGTTATTAAAGTAAAATTGAATATTTAGATTTTTGTTAATTCAAATTTCATGCAGTAGATTGGAAGATGGTTACATAATTATTAATCTATAGCACATGGCGGTAAATTTACGAATGTAGACTTCAGTAATGGGGCAATAATTGAGGGGGAAATGTTGCTCAATATATCACTATAGCTCAAAGATTTCACCCCACAACAAGTTGTTTCCTTTTTTTTGAAAACACCTTTTGTATACAAGAAGTAATACAGACGAAAGGTAAGCCACCATGTGTTGTACTTTATCTGGAAGATAATTTAAAAGACATACGCCAATTTTGTACATCCAGTGCTCGCAATCCCAGTGTTCTTGGAATAGATCGAACATTTAATCTTGGTGCGTGTTTTGCGACTACTCTGGTATACCAGCACAATAATTTAATAAGAAAAGGGGCAAGTAATCCCCCAATTATGCTTGCTGCAATTTATTTACACTGGGATGGACTTTACACAACATACCACAGATTTTTTTCGCATCTTCAAAGTAAGTTAAATGTTGACATCGGTGGAACACAGCTCTCTAAAATTGTTATTGGATCTGACGAAGAGGCCGCACTTACGAAAGCAATAAAACAGTGTTTTCCATCGTCTGCGAATATACTTTGTTCGCGCCATTTAGAGGAGAATGTTCGCCGATATTTGACAAACAATATTGGGGTAAGTGATAAAGTTAGAAAACAAGTTGTAAGCGATATTTTCGGGAAGCATGGGTTAACGTCTTTTAACGAGGTCAAAAAGTTCGAACTAAAATTAATGAAACTTTCCGACAAATACTTGAAATATTTACCTTCGTTCGAAGAATACTTCAGAAAAACTACAGAAAAAATTCGATCTGGCGTTCTTCAACCGCGCATAGAGAATAAGTGGCTTCCTATTAACTGGAAGAACAATTCATGTGAGTCAATGAACCACATCGTTAAGCTCTCGGCAAATTGGAAGACAATGAAATTGCCAGATTTGATCGAAAGACTTTACAAGATTGTCAAGCTACAGCAAGCTGAATGTAGGAGAGCTTTATACGGTCAAGGAAACTATGAGTTAGCCCCGTGGATGTTGAAATGCAAAATACAATATATACACTGGACACAAGAAACGAAAGAAGAAAAAGAAGCATTGTTCGCAAAATTCATGAAGGGTATGCCAGCAAAGAAAA